GCAGTAGACATGATCACAGCAATAGCAGAGTCAATAGACTCTGAGACATGTATCATAATCTCTCTTTCTCTATCTCTCTCCAGGATATGTTCCTGTGGGTGTGTGCAGATGTGTGTAGATACACCTGCACATGCTTGCACATCTGTGTGACGGCCAGAGGCCCAGATCTCCATCCCGCTTTCCTTTCCTTTTTGAGGCAGAGTCTCTAACTGCAGCCTCATCTCATTGACTTAGCTAAACTGGGCTGACTGCTCCGTGAGCTCCAGGGATCCACCAGTGCTGCCCTCCTCTTGCCCATTCAGTTCCTCTCAAGCAAATGCTTTCTTGTGTCCAGGGGTGGCCACAAAGTATTTTTGCTTTCTGCTGTTGTTTTAAATGCAGCCTTTCTGTTCCTTCCTCTGCAATCTCCTTCACGGAGCTCCGGCGTTAGTTACACTCTGATAACTTCCCGAACAAGTAGGGTGAAAGAACAAAGCAACCCCTGATTTGAATCTCCCTTCTGTGAGAGAAGCTATGATCTGCCCTAGGCAGCTTTGGGGCAGAGAATATACAATTTCTTGGGTCTCCCAGTCTTGACTCCCTTTAATCCAAGCCTCCAAGTTGATGCCAGAATGATCTCTGGTCTTTCTAAAAGGAGTCATGACTTCCTTGTTTGAAGGTGTGAGTACTCCTCTTTGCCTATTCAGGTTGATTGGTCCTTCAGCTGTACCAGATTTCAACTGTTTACATAAGGGCGAACAGTCATGATATTGAAAGATTTCTTATAAAAAATCTATGGTTTTGATGTCGCATGGAAGATGGGCAACAGGGCCTGCTGGAGCTCCCAGATTTGCCCTTTGATAAAGGATAGATACTTATTTTTGCTCCCCTTGGTCCAGGAGCAAGTTCTACACAGGTAGAAAAATTGATCACAGAGAGGCCCCACCTTACCTGCCTCTCTTTTCTGACCTTGTCCTCAGAGACATTCTCACAGAGGCTATGCTACTAAATAATGGTTTGCTTGTTAAAAGAAGATCTGCCAGGACTTTTATTAAATAAGGAAGATTTCATTTAAGAAGGACTGAGTCTGAGCCGGGCATAATGCCTTGTGCCAACAGAGGTAGGAGGATCTCTTTGAGTTCAAGGGCAGCCTGGTCTACAAAGTGAGTACCAAGATAGCCAGAGCTATTATACAGAGAAATCCTGTCTGGGGGCATGATGGGGGAAGGGGGCACAACTCTGCTAGGATTTTTGTAAAAGTAGAGAAAGATCTGGTTTAACTCCAAACACAAGGACAAGTTAAGTATTTATAGGCATTGAGAGGGGAGTATGCTCGTCTGTGAATGAAAAATTGCTAAGAGGAAGTTCTGGGGGTACAGGATGATTCCGGCTAAACCTACTTGACAAGATTCTTGCTGAAGGCAGGCTAGTGCCAGAGAATGAGGGTGGAGATTCTCACTAAAGCTAAACCTGCAGGATTCCTGGTAAATCCAGAGAACAAAGACTGAAGTTCCAGGTTGAGGCATGCTGAGGGTTAGTGGAGCCTGAAAGAATTAGGACCAGCAGAGTCTCAGGCACTCAGAACTTATTTACTCAGTTTATTTTCAAATTTATTTATTTCGGTGTGTGTCTGCTTTGTCTACACGTATGTACGTATACCGCGAGTGCACGCTAGTTACCCTGGTAGGCCAGTAGAGGCCTAAATCGAGAGTTCAGAATGGTTGTAAGTTTCCTTGTAGGAGGTAGGAACTTAAGCTGGGTCCCATGCAACATCAGTTAGTGCTTTCAACGGCTGAGCCATCTCTCCAGCCCCTGCTGCATTTATTTAACCTTTACCAAAGAGACTAATTTTATAGACTTTGATTCACTGTGATACAATAGCTTTGATTCACTGCAAAATACACGTTTGGCCTGGCCATCATTGGTGGGATGCTTCAAAAGAGGTTTTTTAGTTTTGTTAGTGGGAACTGAACCAAGATCTGCACTCATGCTAAGTGCCTGTTATACACCCAGAGCTACATCTACAGAGGGTTATATTTTAGATTTTCATGTTATATTAATCCATAACTTCTGGGAAGGGCAAGGAGCAGCGGGAAAGAATAAAGGCCATTTCTCAGCGTAGGATCATTTCCAAAACAACTAGGTTTCAGTTGGCTACTTGGCTAGGTATTTGCATTCTGCTCTGTGAAGCCGAAGATAGCAGCACTGTCATTGTCTGCCTTTTCCAGAATTGTAGGGAAATGGACTCGTGAGATCTACTGGACTTCTGTAACGCAAAGTCGGCGAACGCCAAGGAATGAGATACTTTGTTGCTGTTTACTCTTAAGCCCAAGACTTGTACAAGATAGGTGTTTTAGAAACTTGGGCATTTGTTTCTCTTGTCTCAAGCTGCTGCGGAGGGGAGTCAGGCTTTAATCACTCCAGGCCATCCCGGGAGCTGGTTCTGTTTTTTGCTTCTTCAAGACATGGCTTCCCCAGGAGCTTAGCCCAATTCAGAAAGACAAACGGAAACCGGTATGTTCATTTTTATCATTTATTGAATGTCTATTGACTGTGTGCTCTTGTCCAAAGTCTCTGCAGAAGCAAAAAATTATGTGACATGGTCTCTGGCCTTTGAATTTTATGGTCCAGAAGTAGAATGCATACATGTAAATAAACATGTTGCCTATGCTGTGCTAAGTGTAGGGTGACTTTATATCCGGAGACAGTCTTGGCTTATGTCTGTTTGTTGTCCTGGGGTCACTATGAAGAATGCACCTTTTTACGTTTTAGAACTAAGTGCGGCAGTAGGGTCTGTATGAATATTCAGGTATAAAGGGAGTAGAAAGTGTAGAGAGACCAGTCAGCTTCCCGCAGTAGTCACTGAGCTGAGTGATGAGAGAAATTTGGCCAGCCAAGGCCAGGGATCTTTCGGGAAACTTTGGTTCAGATGGGAGAAGAGGTATATTTCAGGAATGCCGAAAGCTATGCAGGCAAAGGTAGAGTTCTGGAATTAAGAACAGCGGTGGATTTAAGTTAAATATTGTTTGCCAAGTTTGCCCTTTGACAATCCCTCAAGGCTGTTATTAGACTGTCTAGACACAACTGTCCCTTTCCTCCCCTTCCTCTTGCTTCTGGGCTGGGAATGGGATTCAGGGCCCAGAGGGAGGCCTGCTGCAGGAGCAGCTCCCTCTGAGGTACATCCCCAGTGCGAATTTGTGTTTTTATCATCTCTTAGGTCTTCTTGGGCATATCAAGGTTATATCTGGGTCTCTGCTGATGGTGGCTAGGGAAACAGGATTAACCAGGCAGAGAAAGCCCTGAGGGACAGACAGAAACTATAGTTCTAACCAGTTAGGGAGTGCAGGAAGTATGTAAGGCAACCAAGGATCTGGAGGAGGGAAAAGAGGGTAGCACTCTTGAGGAGGAAGAATGATCAAGACCAGGTACCGACTTACATGAGTACTATTTTCAAGCTACAGATTCTTGCGTCAAATCCAGGAATCTAAACGATTTCTAATCTGAAGATTTACTTGAACATAAACCCAAGACGACAGTTGGATAGTGTTGGCATATTTCTTGTAGACCTAAAACAAAATGACTTCCGCCCACATTTTAAAAAAAATCTTTCGACATTCTTGTCTTGTTTATCTCAGGCAAGAAACAGTAATGGGCTCTAAAGTATTCTCCTGCCTTTTATTATTATTATTATTATTACTATTATAGGATACCTGCCAAGCCTTATCGTGTGGGTTTGCTTGTCTTTGTTTTGGAGTGTATAAGACATTTGTGATTCATCTGCAGTATACGTGGTGCCAACTCCTTTCAGAGGAGATCATCTGAATCCTGCAAAATTTAGCCTGACCTTGTCCCGAATTTTGGAGGCACACTCTGTGAGAATTGTAGCCACCTCACAAATTCTCTGAGACTCTGAGAAATGTCAGTATTACGAGAAACACACTGATGAACTAATAGTCTTAAACTTGGCTTTGGGGGAAATGGATTCACCGGGAGAGTGGGCCTGGGGCAGTCTCTTAGTGGAATCCTCAAAGATAAAGGAAAAAAAAAATTCTTCTCTTCGGCTTCAAAAATAAAAGCCTCTTTCTGAAGACTGCTGTCACCAGGCCTTGCTGGCACCGTACTGAAGAGTCAAACGACATCAGAAACCAAGCACCCAGGAATTATCTGAAAAAAGCTTAAAGTTACGAAAAGAAAGAGCAACAGGAAACCCGCTCAGGCTGTCTTGTCAGGGGGATAATTTTGCATCTATCCCAGGTCAGGGCACTCCGGAGCCTCTTTGAATGCGGTTTGGTGCGGGCAAGGCATCTTCAATTCTTGTCTTGCCTGGGAGCCTTTCAAATCCTGGGAGTAACAAGGATGGAGATGACCAGTGTCAAGGGGCAGGTACAACACTCTACAGAGGTTCTGAGTTTAAAAAATAAATAAATAAATAAAATAAGGGGCCTAACTTCTGTGCGGTGCAGCGTCACCCACGCCATTAAGTCCTAGCGGCAGGAAGCACAGATAAAAGGGGAAGAGAAACGGCGCCGCGGCGCGCACACGCTCGGAAATGGACGTCGGCGGCGCGCAGCGCGCTGCAGGCGCGGGTCCCGCGGGGAGGGCGAGCGCGGTCGAGCAGCCCCTGCCCAAGGCTGGGCGCGACCAGCGCGGCGGGGGGAGCGCGCTTCCATCCAAGCTGCCGCCCCCGCGCGCCGCGCCAGTAGTTCGGTCCGAGGGGGCGGCTCCAGGGGCGCGGCTCCGCGGCGGCCGAGGCTGCTCCAGGCGGGAGCGGACCCCAGAGCCCGGCGGCGCCGAGCAAGGCTGGGGGAGAGGCGGGCGCGCGCGGGGGCGAGCTTCGGCGCGGCGGCTCCGAGGAGCGGGGGCGAGCAGCGCTGCGGGGCCGTGGGAGGAAGCGCTGCGCCGGGCCCGACGGCGCTCGTTGAGCCACATCCGCGGGTCGCCGGCGACGTTGCCGGCGCCTGTCAAGGCCCCTCCATTTTGAAGGAAGAGGCCGCCGTTCCCCCGCCGCAGGGGCGGCAGCCGCGCTCATGGCGTTCAGTCCCTGGCAGATCCTGTCGCCGGTGCAGTGGGCCAAGTGGACGTGGTCCGCGGTGCGCGGTTCGGGCGCGGGAGAGGACGAAGCCGGAGGTCCCGAAGGCGACCCCGAGGAGGAAGAGGACTCGCAAGCTGAGACCAAATCCCTGAGTTTCAGGCAAGTACACCGCATCCCAGCCGAGATGCAGGCGCGCGCCATCCTCCCACCGCGGTCATGCTGTGTGCGCGCTACCGTGTTCCCGGCTCTGCTGCGTCCTGCCCGCAGCCGGGTCCCCGCTGTGTGCCCGAAAGTTCGGGATGTTCTGTCTGCCCGTGTGCTTTCCGTCCCTTGTCTTCGCTGTGAGCTTTCTGAACCCAGTCCCGAATCCGCAGTCTCCCCATCCGGGTTTGCCTGGGTCGCTTTCTCTAAGTGTCGACACCCCGGCTCCGACGCAGCCACACCGGGTAGTGTCAGTTGATAAGGCCGGGTGGGATTTGGAGCTTTTCCCCTTGTGGGCAAGCAATCGCTCCTCCGCCCTTCTTGGCCCCGCAGTGTCCTAAAATGCAGCCTTGGTAAAAGGGGATCGCGTGATGACAGGCCCCTGGCAGCTGGTGAGAAATGGTGGTCTCTGCTGAGCTGTCACACGTGTGATTGTGGAAGGCAGGTGATGGCATTTTTAGCCTCCAGTGACTTTCAGACAGGTAGAGGCCTACCGAGGAGAACAGTATTGCTAGAATTGGCTTAGTTTGGGGGTGGGGCGATATTAATTTTTATGCCCCTGGAAAAGGGTATGGTGAGGAAAGGAGTTGATTGGAAAGTCTTGTCTTTTTTTTTCCCCCTTGGTTGTGAAAGGAAAAGATGACCTCAAAAAAACAAGTGGTCCTGGTGATAAGCTCCAGAGGACGAAAGAGATTTCGGGGATCTAGGATGCTGGGCTTCTCTGAAAATGCTGCAGCCTTTCTCAGGCTGGGTTGAGGATTGGTTGGTTGTAAAGTTAGAGGCGCTGTACTTGCACTTTGGTGGCTAAGTACATTTTAAAGGCAGTTGGAAATACCGTTGACTGTGGTAATGCCTCGTTTTTCCCCCTTGGCAGCTCGGATTCTGAAGGTAATTTTGAGACTCCTGAAGCTGAAACTCCAATCAGATCGCCACTCAAGGAGTCTTGTGATTCATCACCAGGATTGCCAGAACCCGAGGCCAAACCCCAAGGTAACAGAACTTGAGTTTTCTACCTCTTTGGTTTTAACTTAAGAAAAAAAAGAAAGGACCTAAGAGAGGTTGTGTATGTGTGCCATAAGAACCGCTTTAGACAGGATAATGAACTGACTCCTCGATCCACAAGAGGGACCCCAAAGTTCTTGCTGATTTTGATCCTTTGATGATCCCAAGCTTGCTTTCTTCCCTGACTGGAGATTGTGGCTTTGGAGTATGAGATCATCTATATTTCCAGCCACTCCTGTTAGGCTCCCTTCTCAACCCTGAATAAGTAAAAATGTAGCAATGACTGGTCTGGTTATGTTTTAGATTTGGCCTCAAAGATTTCAGAGACTAGTTGTTTTCTACAAGGGTGTGGCTAGACCCAAAATTATAGGTAAGAGTTGATTTTTGAGTTAGGAATCTTAGGCAGTTTCAAAATTGCTTGCCTTTCTCTCCCACAAAGAACCAGTGGGGAGCCCTTTAGTCTATCCAAGAAAATCCGGTTCACATACTGTCCTTCCCCCAGCCCCTGTCCCCCATCCCAACCTAGTACCTGCTCTTTAATTCTCAATGCCTCTGGCCCGCTAAATTAATGGAAATCGTTTTTTGTCACACTTTTTAAAAGACAGGGTCTCAGATAGCTCAGGCTGGCCTTGAACTGATCCTGCCTCCTCAGACTCCTGGAATAACAGGCCTGTACCATCATGCTTGGTTTATTGTCACCTAGCTTTGAATAAAATTTCACTTGTCCTAGTAGGAATTAATTTGTTCCTTTGATGAATGAATAGAGGCAGTGAAGTCCTGTTCTCACTGGGTGACATTTTGGAGGGAAGTTGTCTTAGGGTTGCCATTGCTGTGAACAGACACCATGGCCAAGCCAACTCTTATAAGGACAACGTTTAATTGGGGCTGGCTTACAGGTTTAGAGGTTCAGTCCATTATCATCAAGGCGGGAACATGACAGCATCCAGGCAGGCATGGGGCTGGAGGAGCCAAGAGTTGTGTCTACATCTTCATCTGAAGGCTGCTAGGAGATGAGTGGCTCCCACGTGGCTAGGAGGAGGGTCTCAAGGCCCACCCCCACAGTGACACACTTCCTCCATCAAGGCCACACCCACTGCAACAAGGCCACACCTCCTGATAGTGCCGTTCCCTGGGCCAAGCATATACAAACCACCACAGAAGTGAATCTTTTAAGGGTTAAAAGCAAAATATCTGTTGGGTTCTGTTAAGTATTGTGGGGACAGTGGGTGGGTGCTGGGGGGGGGGGGTGAACAGCCTGTGGGCCTGGATTGTAAATGCTGGAAGTTAGTTAAGGGGAGCGCAGTAGAGGAGCTGGCTTGAACAGATTCCTGAAAGGGGAGAATTAAGGAAACAAAACCTGTGTGTATTATTGGGAAGAGAATCCTTTCAGCGAAGGGAACAGTGTTTGCAGAGAAGCATCCTGTAGGAGGTGAGGCCCTGGGGTGTGGACTCACATGTTCTGGTGGAGTGGCCCCAGAGGCTGGCGTGCCCAAGTGGAATGACCAGGCTGCTGCTGGTAATCGGAGCTGAAGTCAGTCAGCAAGGGGAGAGGAAGGGCCACGTGATACCGTCATGATGAGCTGATTTTCTGAGCTAGAGAGCAGCTGTAGGGTATCTGAACAAAACACCATAACCGAGTGGCTCAGAACAAGGAGTCCATTCTCACTCATCGTTCCGGAGAACTGATCAAAATTGGAAGTCTGAAGTGTGGGCAAAGTCCTGTTCCTTCTGAAGGCTCAGGGAAGACTCGATTCTTGTCTATTTTAACTTGGGCTGGTCATCAGCGGTCCTTGGTGTTTGGCTTGCTGCAGCCTGAGGCCCCTGGGTCTTAGCCCATGGTGGGTTTTCCCTGTAGGTTTGTCTTCATACAGCCATGCTATGAGGATACTGGTCATTCAGTTTAATAATCTAGTATGACCTCATTTTAACTGCATTACAACCTCCAAAGACACTGTTCCGATTAAGTGCCCATTTCTGGTAAATTATGACTTTTGACATACATACATACTTGAGGACACAAGTCAACTCATTCTAACAAGGATTTAACTTGCATTATTATTATTATTATTATTATTATTATTATTATTATTGAGACGGGGCTTTAACTCTGTAGCCATGGCTACCCTGGAACTTACAATGTAGATCAAGCTTCAAACTTATGGATCCACTTGCCCCATAGCTTAGCTTAGTCCTTTGCAGGTTGCCTGGGCAAGTTGAGTCACAGAGGAGCTAGATTTACTGGGAAATCATCAGGATTTTTTGCAGTTTTTTTTTTTTTTTTTACTAGAAATTGAGATCTCCATACCATGTCCGCTGAGAATGGAGCAGCGCCCTTCCTGCTCTGGGGTGGTTCTGCTACCGGGTTGAGGGCTGACCCGTTGCAGAGGGGTGTGAGGCAAAGTTGTGCAGTAGTTCTTCCTGCAGTGAAGATGCGGCTTGTCCCCATAGCTTCCCTTTCTTCTCTCCAGATTGGCAGATTGGGAGGGAGGTCTAGCATCCTGAAAGAACTATTCTGTGGGCCTGCTCATCAAATTTAAATAAAGCACATAAGACGTATGTTAAGTAGCTGTTTGAAAGCCTGAGTGGCCCTCAGCTTTCTTTCCTCAACATTCTGTCAGACTGCTAGGCTAATTCATCTGATTCCTCGCTAAATGAATAGAGGCCCGCATTAGCCTAGGCCTCCCAGCCCCCGGCCCCAGCCCCAGCCACAGACACTCAATTGTTTGGCCCTTCATGTTTCCGTGGCTCTCACAGTCTCTCGTTCAGTGTAAATGTTTTCCTTTTAGAGAGTCTTGGATCAGGAAAGTTCTCAGGGTAGGCCGAGTGTGAGATAGGGAGGACCGGTGGTGTAGAGTCTGGAGACCCAGTCCTGCATATTTTAAAGTCCCTCACTTTAGGGTCTTTAGACAGTGGGATGACTCCTAAGTCTGGCTAATGTCTGGCCTTTTAAGGACCTTGTGGAGTTAGTCCAACTCGTGATGTGCTGTCACAGATACAAAGTAAGTCTTGAGTATACAATAAAGCTCAGGTCTGGCTGAAGATGGTTTCACTGAGTCAAAATTCTGAAGTCAGTTCCTGGTGAGGTTTTAATTTCTTGAACTGGATGTTTCATTCCCCCCACCCCCCCAAAAAAATAGTTAGTTTTGTTTTTGACTTTCTGTGGTTCCATAACGTGGTCAAACAGGGCATACAAATTGGATGGGGTCAGTCTTCTCTTCATGGGATTTGTAATGGTCTCGGCTTCCTCGTGCCTGGTCACCCTCATGCACACGTGTAGGCCAGTGACACACTCCTGTTCTGTCATCTGCTTCCTACTTGTTTAAACTTAGAGGAAAATATAGTTCTGCTTTTTATTGGAACTGTTTCAAGAACTTAGAAATTTTGCAATGAGTCCTTTTAAGATATATGTCAGGAATGAAATATAAGGTGGTGATGGTGATTTTTTTTTAAAAAAAAGCCACAGAAAAAAATTGGCTTCTGAATATATACTAAATTCAAACTAAACCTGAAATATTTTTTAAAAATACCAAGCGAGTGGCTGTGACTCTGTATTTGCTGTCTGTTTTCCTCAACAAAGGGTGCTTAAGCTGGCTTCACCTATGTTTGAGCCTGAACAAGATCCGTAGCCACGCTTGGCCTCAAACTCTACAGAGATCCTTCCGTCTCTGCCTGAAGGTGTGTGCCACCATACCCAGCCATATAAAGTGCTTAAAAAAAAAAATCACTATATCATCACTGTGGGGAAGAGGCACACATGCCATAGTGTGTGTGCGTGTGTGTGTGTGTGTGTGTGTGTGTGAGAGAGAGAGAGAGAGAGAGACTGACTTCCATGGAGATAGCTCTCACCTAACGTTATGTGGGTTCTAGGGATGGAACTTGGTCCCTGACTTGTGGCAAGTACCTTTTCATGGTCATCTCACTGGCTGGTGAGCTGCTTTGGTTTGGTTTGTCTTTGCTGGGATGTGTGTTGGTGAAGAAACTCCCTTGGGGAAGGAGCTTAGAGGGAGGCCTTCTTATCTTCATCCCCGTATCCCCCATTTGCTTATGTTCACAGGGTTAGTGGCTGCAGGTTTTGTTCAGCTGTTTCAGCCTATGAAAACTTCAGAGCTGGCCTAACATGGTGGGGCACCCTTGTACACCACCAGCACCAGGGAGGCAGAGGCAGGCAGACCTTTGTGAGTTCTAGGCCAGCCCTAGTGAGCCCATAGTGAGACCCTGTCAAAACAACAACAACAGCCGAGTGGTGGTGGCGCACGCCTTTAATCCCAGCACTTGGGAGGCAGAGGCAGGCGGATCTCTGAGTTCGAGAGTTCGAGGCTAGCCTGGTCTACAGAGTGAGTTCCAGGACAGCCAGGGCTACACAGAGAAACCCTGTCTTGAAAAAACCAAAAAAACAAAGCAAAACAAAACAAAAAAAACAACAACAAAAACAGAAACAAACAGGAAATCTGCAGAAGTTTACTTTGTGGACTCCTCCCTTTGTGGTCCTACCCATATTTGAGAAGGAGAATGTTGATTAATGTAGAAGCCTCCACATGATCATTGAATAACTAGTTAAACCCGTCTATTCATTTTTTTTATGTTAGAATATCTAGGTATTTCAGAGACTTAACCATTGCAGTCCGGAATAGCAATGGGGTCTATCTACTGGTATTTAATGCTGATGTTTATGTGAGGAATACAGAATTATTCATTGATATATTTATGGTATTTAGATTCAGAAATACCAAACCATGCTCAAGGCCGAATCCAGGCTACCTATCTTTTTTTTTTTTTTTTTTTTTTGCCTTCCAGGGGGAAAAGATTTAAAATTTTTTAATGATTGAGCCCAGAGTGGTGGCGCATACCTTTAATTCTAGCACTTGGGAGGCAGAGGCATGCAGATCTCCGAGTTCAAGGCCAGCTGGTATACAAGTTCAGGCCCAGGCAGTGTCAAGCCAAAGGAAATTTTACCTCAAAGTGTAGTGGTTGGAAAAAAAAATTGTAGT